ACATATACTGAAAATAACTCCAGATCTAGGTGTCGAGTTGTTTATAAATCTCATGAATTTCATTCCAAAACCATGAATATTCAATCCAATTGCAATGTGGAAAAAAAAAAACAGAGAGAGGGAGAGAGAGGAAGGATTCCACCGATCAGGACAAAAACGAGAGAGGGAGAGAGAAGAAAGGAGAAGAAATAGGGGGGAGAGAGAATGAAAAAAACAGAGATAGGGGGAGAGAAAGGAAGGATTCCACCGATCCGAAAAAAAAAACAGAGAGAGAGAAGAAGGGAGAAGAAGAGATAGGGGAGAGAGAAAGTCTACCTTTAATTATGTTGATCAGTTAATTGCATACTCAATTAATTATTTAGTAATTTTGCAATTAATGTTATGCATATGGTAATTTTGCAATAAAAAGTGATATGTGTTGTATATGGTGTAATTTTCTCTTTATCTTTTAACCTGCTCCATGAGGTTTGGAGTGAATTTTAGAGATATGATGTTTAGCCACTAATTTCATTGTTTGATAACTAACGATTAGAAATAACTTTTTTATTTAAAATTTTAATTTTGAAAAGGCTCTGTATAATAGCATTATGAAATAAATAATTGTAAAACTAGTTGTCTTAACATATTGAACAACCAATTATATCAAATAATTTACATAACCATCCAATTCAACCAATTCAACCAGTTGTCGGTTGTTATTTAATTCAATCAACTATCATCTTTTCTTATTTGTCAATGAGGTTTGTAGACCGCGCGTCGCAACACAATAAATTAAAATTTATATTTTTTGCTCGCAAACTTCCACCAACTAGTAGAAGCGTCAAGTAAGAATCGATCATGAGATGAATAAAAGTAAATTATAACAATTCATATTAATTAAAATAATATAAGAGAGCTATAAGTTTATATATATATATATATATATAAATCTAAACTAACTACAATCCACTAAAATTAAAAATAAAAATAACAAAGTTTAAAAAAAAAGTAATAAATAAGGGGAATACAATTTACAGTTAGTTGTCATTTTGTTACTCAAGCTAAATTCATCATTAATTGATTTCAATGTCTTTTTTAAATTGCAACTGAATTATCAATTGTAGTTAATAACAAAGCATGTTAACTGAATTTTCTCTTTCCGAAAAATCATCGAAATAAGCTTTTGGATTAAATTTAAAAAAATAAAAATAGAAAACCCAAAATAATCTCTCTAAATTTCATTAAATGACAACATTAATTCATAAAAAAAAATATTAGTCTAGGCAACATACACAAAAGGTTCAGTCTGTTTCTTATGTTCACGCTATCCTAAAAATTTTGCACGACCTCTATTTTACTATTAACGAAACGAGAACAATAACAAATATATATTAAAGTCTCCAATCTAGCAAATAAACAATGAATATTTTACACAGCCAGCCTAACTAAATCAAAATCCCAAATAAATGTCAATAGTTTAAACTAATTAATCAACAAAAATAATTAAGAGGTCTTAATTAATCAACAATAAAGATTAATTAAAATTGTGTTTTATTTTGCATGAGTGGTCTCTATAAATTAATATATATACAAAAGGAATTTCATTAAAAAAATTCAATTCATATTCAAAATCTAACTCAATTTTAAAGATGCTAAACAAGCTAGCCCTAGCGGTTTCGGGCTAGCCCTAGCGGGCTTCGTGCTAAGCGGTCCGAGCTTAAAAAGCCCGAATTTAAACGAGCTACCAATAAAGGGACCTAACTCTAACCCGCTAGGGCTTCGGGCTAAACGGGCTATGCGTGCTATAACAATAATAATAATAATAATAATAATAATAATAATAATAATAATAATAATAATAATAATATATAAAAAATAAAAACAATAAAAAAATATATAAAAAATACAACGGTTAGTTAACGATTGTTTTCAACGGCTATTTAGTATTTACCGCTCTATATATACAACCACACATCATATATGAACAAACAATATTGTGAATAATTATCTTCTAAAATCATAATAATCTATTACAACTCATACTTATATGTGAAGTGGAATATCAAAATTGTAATATATAAACAAGGAATCTAAGAGTATATTACTTACTTGATGCAAATATTTATACTGCCCAACCCTTGGTAAACGGGCCAGCCCTAGCGAGTTTCGGGCTAAGTGGTTCGGGCTTAAAAAGCCCTGATTTAAACGGGCTACCAATAAAGGACCCTAACCCTATTTTTTTCGGGCTAAACGAGACGGCCCGTCGGGCCAAGGACCAATTAACACCATTTTAACTCAACTCTACTATTCTCAATACTAGTAATTACCCGTGCGATGCACGGGGAAATTATTATCTATACGCTTTTTAGAATGCACCTTTGTATATAAATTATGTAATAATGCAATGATCATGATCATTAGAATAGACATATAAACAATAATTAAACTGAAAAGATCATATATTATTGAACACTTCCCTATATACAACATTGTTGGTTTGATTCTTTGGCATGTCATCTTCACCACAAATTAAGATTTTCAAACATTTTCGGTTAGTGACATGTGAGACAACTATATATAACTGGCCATGACTGAATACTGGTTTCTTAAGAAATAAGCAAACATGAGAATCTGTCGCTGTTGGAACTCTTGTTTATAGTCATGGCGCAAGAAACCATAATGAGAAACTGCCGCTGTTGGAACTTAAAAGGGATTCTAACATCAGAAGGAGTTATGTTCATTCTTGGAATCAACACCTTATCACCAGCATGATCTCCTGTGAGCATCTTACACTCAAGAACATGACTGGATAGCTTTGCCACAACAAATCGTGTCTCATTACACAAACCCATAGAATGATCCATGTTCCGCAACAACATGACCGGAGTTCCAATTTTCAAATACGGTTCGGTATTCCGGAACACTTGATACTATTCAAAAACTCAGGCGTATGGAGATCAGACAAAAAATCATTATTAGAATCCGATTTGCATGTACTGTCAGAACTCAAGTACATACGACCATCCAACAAATTCAATGATGTCATGTACTCATTGATAAACTCGGCCACATCCAACGTCGGCGCTATAATTCAAATTACAAATCAACTCCCAATTTTTCAAAAATTTTAAAAAAAAGTTATCAATTGTAGTAAAATCTAAAATTGTAGGTGAGAACTTTTTTTCAACTTAAAGTAAATCCCTATTGTTATTTTATAATATTAGATTGAATTTCCAAAATAACTAAGTCAAAGGTTTTGACTCAAATTTTTTATCAAGTTTCTATAAATGATTTTTTAATCAACCTCTTTCAATATATATATATATAGATATATAAGTACATATATAGTACTCCCTCCTTTTTTTAATAAGTATCGTTTTGAAAAGTTGCACAGTAATTAAGATTTTTTTTTTTGTAAATAATAACCCTCGTTAATGAGGATAGAGATGGATGTTTTGAGAAAAGATGAAGAATGAATATGAAAAGATGTAGTGTATTTATTAGCTAGATTGAGGTAATAATGAAAAAATATGTACAAAAGATCCAAAACGTCATTTATTTGGTTAATTGTTCATGGGGAAAAAGTGCTTAATGTTATTGCAAGCTCAATCCGTGAGTTGGTTGATGCCTACCCTCCGAAAAGAAATAAAGTCAAAATGACATTTAAAAAAAAAGGAGGTAGTATCTATTAATATATAAAAAAACAAAGGATTTATTATATATAATAATTTAAAATTTACCAAGAATGTTTAAATTACTTATAACGTAACTTGTTTTATATGGCATGATGTTACATTTACATTGATATATTTTGATCTCCTACAATCATGCTCCCTAAGTAACTAATAAATTAGATATCCTTGGTGTATATATTTCACTTGTGACCTTTCAATTCGGAAAGAATCAATTGACATTATCCTCATCCATAATTCAACATCATCCTCCCGGTTTTTTTGTTAAGAAATTGATTCTAATATTGCTTTTAAAATCTCATTTTTTTTACTCAAATTGCACGTGTTTTTTAACAAATTTTCCTAAATTAGTAAGTCAAACAAATTAATTAATAAGTCAAACATTCTATTTAAGTATTTTTCCAACAACCTTTTTATATATATTAAAAAGAATTATTATTTACTACTGAAAATGAAGCCGATTTTTCTACCAATAAACTGATTATTATCAAACAAATTGATCCGAATATTTTTTTAAACAAAATAAAAAATCATCAATTTTTCCTAAAAATGCAACCGAATTTTCCTAACACTGCACCGACTTTTTTACCAAATAAATTGAATTGAAAATAATTTTAATAAAAAATTGAAACAATTTGTTAATGTTTATGCAACTGTCTCTTTCCTAAAGAAAATGATATGAACTTAACAAAAAGAAAAATGATATGAACTTACCAAAATCTCGGTAAAACATGGTTAAGAAAAACATAAGAATCCAAAAAAATTGATGCATTTAAATTTTGAAAAGTTGCACACAATTTTTCCTAAATAATTGGATAAGGTGACTTTAAATATCAAAAATGAATCGCTTTTATTACCAAAAATGTGGACACAATTTGAATGTACATCCCGTCCAAATATCAGTTTTATTCTAAAATAAAAATTGCACGTGGTTTTATCCAATTTACACACTTTTTTTAAAGAAAAAATTATTCAATAAAATTGGAAGAATTGATTAAGAATTATACAACTATTTGTTTCCTAAATTCGTATCCAATTTGTACGGTCTTTAAGTTAATTTGTATTTAGAATTGTTTTCATAAATAATTGACATATTTTTGCATAAGAATCTCCAAATTTATTACCAAAATATATGATTTAAATTTTGGTACAAAAAATAAAATATGATGCGAAAAAAATTGGATTCAGATTTTGCTATAAGAATCTCCAAATTAGTTACCAAAAAAATAGGATTCAGATTTTGTTACTAAAGATTCACATGTATTTTTTCGAACTTTCCATTTATAGTAAGTCAATTGTTTTATTTATTAGGTCAAACTTTCTATTAATGTATTTTTCCAACAATCTCTTTATATATATATAGATTATCAATACAATTAAATAATATCAACTAATCATTCATACACATCACATCAACTTTAATTTACTATTCATTCTCTCACGTAATTTACACTTCACCATCTCTCTACTTTTACGCCAAATCTATTTTAATTATTTTATTTTAAATATTATTTTAATATAAAATCAAAATTACACTAACAACTAACATGCCACTTTTAAGGAACAAAGTGGCTATCAAAGTGCTTAACTAACAAAACTCATTTTGAACATATTTTTTTATACAAACACGCTCTAAATTCCCTTCACCAATTCCAAGCCACTCAGAAATTAATCCTTTTGTGATCATGTGCCCATGCAATCAACAAAAATTATATGCTTCTTCTTTTCTATTCACCAAATCTTCAGTAGCCACCCACCCAAATAACAGCAATGTTGAGCCTTAGTCGACTTGGTATTGAGATGTTCAATAATGATTCACGAGAATTCTCGTTCAATAATTCAAATACACGAATGTACGTCAATATGCTAAAAACAAAGCATAAAATAATCAGAACACAAAAAAAATCGTCGAAATTTTAGCACATGATATGAAACACACAAATTCCCCATATATTTACCGAATATCGTATATGTTGTATGCATTTATGCTTGTGCTTGGACATCTTTCTTATATTCTTTTACACATCACAATTAATTATTACTCTTTACATCACATTATAAAAATATTATTAATTATTAATTATTCTACTAAAACTTCTTTCTCCAAACATTTTTTTTGTCAAATAAAAATCATATCCATCTGCACCCAAATAAGCAAAAAATATATAGAGAACTATTTTTAAAACTTAATTGCAAAGGTCATACTAAAATCGACATGTCTAACGGATTTTAAAGAAATATAAAAAGAAATTAACTTCTATATAAAAGTTGTTGGGGTAGAACACCAAACGCAGTGGACAAAAATACCCCTCCAACAAATATGACAAGCACTACTCCAAACGAAAATAAGCCAACACAAATAAATAATAGACGGGAAATAAAAAGACACAAAAATTGATAACGGAGTTCGGCGAAAATAGCCTACGTCTCCGGGCACCGCCAACCGCAACGCCAAATTTACTAAACTCACCAACAAAATACAACTAGGATTAAATAACCCACAAATTAGGATTTCCTTAATTGAGGATTTCCTACCAAGAGAGGAGAGAATAGAATAAGGTGCAATTGTAACCCAAAGGTAAGGGACCTATTTATACTAATAACTCAACTTATTATGATAACGAGAAATGATTTCTTTGGTTCACGCTCTAAAATTAAGTGACAAATAGTTGAAACAAACACTTCAATAGACTTTTTCGAAATATTACAACGTCTAAATCGTTTGACTTTTTTAAAACGCAAATGTATAGTCAAACATCTAAAGTTCGTCCATGTTTTCAAATCGTCAAATGTCTAATTTTCTGAGCCAACCCAAAAGATGTATGATTCGCATAAGCGAACCAGCCCAAACTTATTTAGTCCCACAACTTGAGCCCATGAAACAAAGAAGCCCCCAGAGTCTTTTATTAGCATTGTGCCGATTCGTCGTTGATTTGGGTGCCGATCTCTCTTCAAAATGTGAACATGAATCGACAAAGTTATAAATCGATAAAGTGATTACTTAATCGGTCTAGCATCAAAAGCTGAAACGAACGTCTTATTCTCAAAAGTCAAATTTTTCCATGGTGATACGTGTCAACCATCTAACTCGTATGGTTGAATACCGCATCATTATTTTCTACTTTATTCATGTATAATAAGACGGTAAATACTTTAGAAAACACACGAAAAAATATATGAAAAACCATAGACTCAAACAATTACTCAAATATATTTAAACACTTATTTTTTTCCCTATATTTATTTATGACGAGGATCTATCACAATACTGTCGATCTCTTCTTAATCCATTTTTAGTCTATTTCATAATTTTGCTTAAATTACGTTGGTAATTATGGGTTGTCAATACAAATCGAATTTATTGAAGTAAAAAAAATTATAAAATAATTAAATAAATTTTAAATTTATTTATGATACTTTAACTCTATGTTTGGTTCAAGTAAGGGAAAGGGAGTGGAGGAATTTTAATTAAAGGGGGGTGAGGGGAGGGGAGGTGAAGGAAAATAATTTTACCTTGTTTGGAGGGATTTTGTAGGAGGTGAGTGGAGGAAAAATGGTAAACCTTATTTAGTTAGAAAAATAGAAGGGAAAGAAAATATTGTGGAAATGACATTTATACCCTTAATGATATAAAAAAACAAAAAAATAATATAATTTACATAGTAAGGTCAAAAAAGTAATTTGTTGTTAAAAATTTTCCCTCCCCTCCAAATTCTCCCTCTTTTGGAGGAGAGATTATTTTTCCTTGGAGGAGAGATTTGAAGGGAAAATTGTAACCTCTCTCCCTCCAAAAAATTCAACCAAACAAGAAAAAATTAAACATTTCCCTCACTTCCCTTTCCCTCCCCTCCATTTCCCTCGAACCAAACAGTGCGTTACAACTTATCAACAATTAAAACCTTTACACACATAACAAAGGCAACGGCTACAATTCCGCTTCCCTTTTGCCATCCTCTCACATTCATTGTCCCCTGCGACAAATCTTACCCTTATGTAATATCTCGCGCGTAAATCGCTACTCTTCTCTCAAACCATAAATTACTGCTTATTATTTGTATCCAACAAAAGCCCCCACAGCAAAAATGAGGCGAAAAAATTGCTGATTTTCTCTCCTCCTCGGCAGTTTTTCGGCCTCCTCCAAATGCCATTTTTGCGGATTTAATTTCAGTTTTCAGGCGCCTATTCTGGTAAGAAAAATCCTTGCTTTGATAAAGAAATAGTTAAAGTTTCTTGCTCTTTTTTTTATTAGGAATAATGTGTATTGTCTCATTTTATTTTTTCGCTCATGGGCTTTTGTTGAAGGTTTTGGGGTAATATTTATTGAGAATTTCATGCTCGTTTTTGCTGATATTGTGATATTACTGTTGCTGGGATTTTTGTTCCCCTTTCTCCTTTAATCAATTTCTGGTTGATTGCTTGTGTTATTGACAAATGTGATTGTATCTGTTTGTCTATTATGAATCCACATTGTTTCTTTCATAGGGTTCATGACCTGGTCTGTAATTTTTGGCTTATACCCATTGGTATTTTTAGGGTATAGAAAAACAAAAAATAAACAATCTTTTTCTGTTTTCCTTTTTGCTATACATGAAGCATTAACTTGGGCTCAGTTTATTATGGATGAAAAGTAACACTAAGGGATCCCTCGAATCATAGTGTGCTTTGAATAATGGTCCCAAAGTAAATGAAAAAACTAAAACTAATCAAGGATGATTGCATTATATTAAAATCGATTATATATGTAAAAGGAAGTTTCAGCTATGGAAGTTAACTGTACAAATAGAGAGGACAATATTATTGGAGATCGAAAATCAAACGTTGTCCCTTCAATTTTTTCGTTTGCCCAAGTGGACAAGGTAACTTTGTCTTCCCATTTTTATGATTAGGCATTGGTCTCATTTCAGAAAATATATACACAGAAAAAATTGCATGAGAATTTAAGAATGTGCCCCAATGTTTATAATCATGATGGGAGCCCGGCCGTTGTGGCTGTTGACCGGGACAAGCACAGCACGTCGGCTGTAAAATGGGCAATAGAGCATTTGCTCACCAACAATGCGACTCTTGTCATGGTTCATGTCAAGACCAGAAACTTGCATAACCGTAGGTACCCTCTCTTTGATCTATTTATTTACATGCCATCTTTCATATCGTAAAATCCGTTATAGAATAAACAAGATTGTATTTTTAGGATTTCTATCTTTTCTGGTCCTGATGTGCAGACGGTTCGAATGGTGGTCATACGGAAGGTAACGGCGAATCCATGGAGGAGGTTTTTGCCCATTTTCGTGCTTTTTGTGCGCGCAAAAGGGTAAGTAATTAATTATTCTTGAAAATTTTCTCCGGGGCTTTGATTAGAAATCTCTTCTTGCATTGCAATACCACGCATTCATATATATATATATATTAAGGCTTTGTTTGGTAAACCTAGCTGATAAGCTAGCTTGTAACTTTTAAGTAAATTTTGAACTTATAGTTGATAGCTTATGACTTATGGCTGAAAAGCTAGCTTATCTGATAAAAGCGTTTGGTAAAATTAGCTGAAATAAAAAATTTAATTGGCTTATTTGTAAAGCTGTCCAAAGAAGCTTATTTAAAAAAGCTCGTCCTACCAAACCAAGCTTACTTGAATACAGAAAGCTTATAAGCTAATCAAATAAGCTTATATGCTTACCAAACACAGTCTAACTCGTGCCAAAATCAACTGATGCTAGAATGTTTTGTTGAAAATGTTGCAGATAGCAATGCAAGCAGTAATCTTGGAAGGCACAGATGTATCAGGCACACTTTTAGACTACATAATCGGCCACCATATTACCAATGTAGTACTTGGTGCCTCATCAAGAAACCCAATTTCAAGGTACCATTTTTTTTCCCTTCTGCACTATTGTCTGAAAATTGATCCAACTTCTTCTAATGTGCATTTTTGCACAAACCCGATCAGGAAATTTTGGACACACGATGTGCCGACTATCATAAACAAAACCGCCCCAGATTTTTGCAATGTGTACGTCGTGTCAAAAGGTAAAACACAGTCCGTTCGGCCAGCTGCCACCCGAGCAGCAAACCACTCGACCCCACCAAGGCTGCCGGCCCCACATCTGTCCTCCGGATCATCCGTACGTTCCGCGCATGGCGAGTCAGAGGAGTCTTGCAGTTTCAGGTGCTCGTTTTCGTGAGGCAAAAAACGAGGGCTTAAATTACAAAATCCACCCCTAAATTTCCATCTAATTGTGAAATAATCACCCCTTAATTGCAAAAGGTGCAAATATTTCTTGTTAAATTACAATTTAACAACCCGGCATTTTTTTTGTTTATAATAACAGGGCTTTTCTTGCGAGAGAGCATCCAAAAACGGCTAGTTCCGAGACGAATCTGACGAACGGAGGAGCATTGGATCATCAATATCACGACACTTACAGTCGGGTGTCGAAATTATCGCCCGGTTGTGACGGCAATGAGACCCCAAATTGGTGGTCGAAAACTTCGTCTTACGAATCGACAACCGAGGCTTCCAGCCGAGGCTCTCCGTACTCGTCCAGTTTCATCTCCACCGATAACGACTCGACACTCGACCATGAGTCGAGCGCGTCTTTTTCCGTAAGTATCGTGCAACTTTTGTTGTTACACCTTAATTTTGACTTTCGATGATCTTAAAAAAACATTACATACAACTGCATGTTTTGATAAAATCCTTTTAGGCAAATGGGTCCTCCAATCACCAAAAGCAAGAAGCCAGGCTGGCGGAGGAGGCAGCGCTGGCGCTCATAGAGGTCGAGAGGGCCAAATGCCGGGCCGCCCTCGAAGCAGCCGAGAAAGCACAGAGGCTTGCCGAGAGGGAAACACAGAGAAGGAAGCATGTGGAGATGAAAGCCAGGCAGGAGACCATCGAGAAAAACCGGGCCCTCGACTTCCTTTCGCACAACGATATTCGTTACAGAAAATACACCATCGAGGAGATTGAGTGGGCCACCAACAAATTCTCGAGGTCCATGAAAATCGGGGAAGGCGGCTACGGCCCCGTTTACAAGGGCAAGCTCGATCACACCCGGGTCGCCATCAAGGTCCTCAGGCCCGATGCTGCTCAAGGGAGGAAACAATTTCAGCAAGAGGTAGGTATAATGTGTATGTATAAGTGTCGATTTTGTCCCGAACATTTCGAAAGCTCCAATCTTTGCATCACCATTGTATGTATAGTTGTCGATTTTGTCCCGAACATTTCGAAAGCTCCAATCTTTGCATCACCATTGCATGTATAATTGTCGATTTTGTCCCGAACATTTCAAAAGCTCCAATCTTTGCATCACCATTGCATGTATAAGTGTCGATTTTGTCCCAAACATTTCGAAAGCTCCAATCTTTGCATCACCGTTGTATGTATAAGTGTCGATTTTGTCCCGAACATTTCGAAAGCTCCAATCTTTGCACCACCATTGTACTTATAAGTGTCGACTTTGTCCCGAAACATTTCGAAAGCTCCAATCTTTGCATCACCATTGTATATACAAGTGTCGACTTTGTCCCTAAGATTTCGAAAGCTCATCACCATTGTAATGTATAAGTGTCGATTTTGTCCCCAACATTTCAAAAGCTCCAATCTTTGCACCATCATTATATACACAAGTATCGATTTTGTCCCCAACATTTCAAAAGCTCCAATCTTTGCACCACCAACCATTGTATTTATAACCGTCAATATCATCCCGAACATTTCGAAAGCTCCAATCTTTACACATTTCAGGTAGAGGTGCTGAGCATCATGAGGCACCCGAACATGGTCCTTCTAATGGGGGCTTGCCCCGAATACGGGTGCCTCGTTTACGAGTACATGAACAACGGGAGCCTCGAGGACCGACTCTTCCGAAAAGGAAACACTCCCCCAATCCCGTGGGCCCTACGCTTCAAGATCGCGGCCGACATAGCAACGGGCCTACTTTTCCTCCACCAGGCCAAGCCCGAGCCACTGGTCCACCGAGACCTCAAGCCCGCTAACATACTCCTCGACAGACACTACACTTGCAAGATAAGCGATGTGGGCCTGGCCCGACTAGTCCCACCTTCCGTGGCCGATACAGTTACCCAATACCACATGACATCAGCTGCCGGGACTTTTTGCTACATCGACCCGGAATATCAGCAGACGGGCAAGCTAGGGACGAAATCGGACATTTATTCGTTGGGTGTTATGCTGCTGCAGATTATCACGGCCCGCCCGCCGATGGGCCTGACCCACCAAGTGGAGCGGGCCATAGAGAAGGGCACGTTTGGGGATCTGCTGGACCCAACTGTGCCCGATTGGCCGGTTGATGAGGCGCTTGGGTATGCCAAGCTGGCGCTGCAGTGTGCCGAGCTGAGGAAGAAAGATAGGCCGGATTTAGCGAAGGTTATATTGCCGGAGCTCAACCGGCTCAAGGATATGGGGATGGAGAATTTGAACTTCAGTCACAAGAATCCCAGCTAGCCTAGCTGGCTAGCTCACTTTACATTTGAGAAGAAATGAATTATTGAAGTGAGCTAGGAATTTTTTTATTGTAAAATAGATCTTATTTTATTTAATTTTATTTTCTTTTAGGAGCGAAAGAATGGTGTTTGTGGATAGTTATGACTTGCAAGACTTTTGAATTTTATTGTTGAAATTTGTTTCTGTTATGTTTATATATTACCAACTTGTTAATTACTTCACATATATGAAGAAAAAATTCCGTACTTAGGATTTGAGAGCAATATGTATTGTTTTTCATATAATCTTCAACATTGTGTTGATTTTTATCACAATTTTTTCATCAATAGTTAAGTAAGGTGATTTTGTATGTATCTATTTTGTGTTAGATTATAGTGAAATGTGGTGTATATCCAATGTGGTTAAAACAGTTGATAAAATATAGATATTTTAAGAAAAAGAGACGTTCGTGAATTCGACTCGACTCATTTATGACTCGATCTGATTTGATAAACGAGCCACACCCGACGTGAAGTTGATAAAGGTGAAATTGGCATGTCATAATTTGCTATGCTTTTGAATGAGAACTTGACTCACTACCCATAATCTGGGAACGACCATTGGCTCATATTGGAGTGAACTTCCTAGTTCTTATACATGCCAATTAAAAATATCATATTTTTAAGTAAAAGAGAATAAATATTGTAAATAGAATTAATAAAACTTTGTACAACTAAAATAAAACTAATAATGTTTAACTAAAAGAGAATAAATATTGTAGATAAAATATACTTTTTAATTTGAATTTGAAAATAAAAACTATAAATTCTGTAATATTGTTTCAAATTATCTAAAATTTATTTGAATTCTATTAGTTCAATATTATTAGTTCTATTTTAGTTGTAAAAAGTATTATTTTATTTACAATACTCATATTTATTTACTTAAAATACAATACTTAAAAATAGGCTATTTTAGATTGTCGTGTACATGAAGTTGGCTCTAATATAGAGCTAATTGTTGGTTCCATATTAAAACTAGTTAAGATAATATATAACTATAAATTAATTTAAATTGATAGTTAATAACTTATAAATTATGATTGAAGAGTTAGTTGATATATATAATTATTTGACACATCGATGTTCTTAATTTATAATGAGGAGAAATGATGTCATTTATTCAAGTTCTAAATTTAAGTGACAAATAGTTGAAACAAATATTTCAATAGACCTTTTCGAAATATCACAATTAATAGAATCATCTGACATTTTTGAAACGTTACTGTATAGTCAACTATCTTTTCAAACCAAACTTATTTGAATAAATAAAATTATAAACTAATTAACTAAAGTATAAATTAACTTATATTACTTATAAATAGTTTTTACTTTTACACATCATCCATATGGAATTAAAAAATATAATAAAGACAAAAAATTATAAAGCCTGTTAAAAGTTTAATAAATTACTAGTAAGCACTTGCACAAAGAAGAATACTCTAAAAAGATAACAATATAAAAAAAAAACAAAAATAAATCATAATTTAATTTATGAAAAAAAAATATGAATTAAGAAAATAATTCTCAAAATTGATTTTGATCAAATAATTGCTATAGAAGAGCGGTTACAATCATTTTTTTTTTTTTGTTAATACTCCCGGCCATTTTCATGAGTGAGTGTGACTTAAAATTTGAGTACAGTTTTGTAACTCCCTTGATTGGTTTATGCTCATAATTTATGGCATTCAAACAAGTTATTTTATAACTTAAAAATGAAATTGAATGCTGAAATTTTTTGAGTGAGAATAAAATTTAGTAAATGATAATATAATTAAATGATGTGATATATAGATAGATAGTAGTACAAATTAAGAAGGTCGGTCGTGGAGTCAAAAGCACATAACAATGGCAACGGCTACAATTCCGCTCCCCTTTTGCCATCCTCAACATTCATTGTCCCCTGCGACAAATCTTACCCTTAGGAGCTTCCAATATCTCGCGTGTAAATCGCTACGCTTCTCTCATACCATAAATTACTGCTTATTATTTGTATCCAACAAAGCCCCCACAGCAAAAATGAGGCGAAAAAATTGCTGATTTTCTCTCCTCCTCGGCAGTTTTTCGGCCACCTTCAGATGCCATTTTTGCGGATTTAATTTCTGTTTTCAGGCGCCCATTTGGATTTTGTTTCTTCCAGGTTTGTTGTCTGGTAAGAAAAAATCGTTGCTTTGATAAAGAAATAGTTAAAGTTTCTTGCTTTTTTTATTGGGAGTAATGTGTACTGTCTCATTTTACTTTTTTTCGCTCATGGGCTTCTGTTGAAGGTTTTTGGGGTAATATTTATTGATATATTCATGCTCGTTTTTGCTGATTTTGGTTGATTGCTTGTGTTCTTGACAAATGTGATTGTTGTCTATTAAGATCCCACATTGTTGTCTTATACCCATTGATTTTTTAGGGTATTGAAAAAATTTACTGACCAAAAAAAGTTGTGATCTTTTAGGTAATCCAAATAGATAGAAAACCAAAAGAAAAAAAAATCCAAAATTTACCATCTGGGGTGGCCAGCCGGTGATAATATAGATCAAATCCTATAATGTCTGCGGTTGATGTCGCATTGAGCCCAATCCCCAAAGAGACTGCGAAATCCGCCGTCTCTTTCGATCACAGCCATCAATTCAAATCCATCGTGATCTACATCTTTTTCGGGGGCTCCTTGATTCCCATGCGCGTAATGGAGTCCGATTCCATTGCATCAGTCAAACTTAGGATTCAGACATGCAAAGGTTTTGTAGTAAAGAGGCAGAAGCTAGTTTTCGCGGGCTGTGAGCTATCAAGAACCGATTCTAATGTCAAGGACTATGGCTTAAGTAATGGAAATATAGTTCACTTGACTCTGAGGATATCTGATATCCTATTGATCAGCGTTAGGACACCCTGCGGTAAGGAGTTGTTCGAGTTACGTGTGGATAGGCACAGAAATGTAGGGTACTTGAAGTGTAGGATTGCAAGAAAAGGGAAAAAGGTTCAATTTTTGGACCTCAAAGACCCGGATATCTTTTTCCGTGGGGAGAAGCTCAATGACTTCAGGCTGATTCGCGACATTACCAATAGTTCAGATCCGATTATTCACTTAGTCGTGCAGAAGCCCGCGAAAATCCGAACAAGGCCCATCGAGAAAGAAATTGAGATCTCGATCGTGGCTCCCGATTTTGAGAAGGATTTTTGTAAAAGGGGGAATTCTTTTAGCTTGGAGCCGATTTTTGCGGGCCCACATGTGGACCTACCCCTCTCTCTGCAGGAAATGATCCGCCGCATCTCGGAAGGTTTAGCTAGCGGGAAGCAGCCAATCAGATCGTCTGAGGGTACGGGTGGGACTTACTTCATGCCGGACTCGTTTGGTGAAAAATACTTAGCAGTTTTTAAGCCGATAGATGAAGAGCCTCTTGCCAAGAACAATCCTCAAAACCTACCAATATCGACAAATGGCGAGGGTTTGAAGAGAGGCACAAGGGTGGGCCAAGGGGCGTTTAGGGAAGTCGCGGCGTATTTATTGGACCACCCGAGAAGCGGGCCTCGGTCCAAATCGTGTGATCTGGAGAAAATCGGGTTCGCGGGCTTGCGGCCCACGGTTATGGTGGGGTGCCTGCACGGAGGATTTAACCATCCAGAAGGGTTCGAAATGTCGGATGAGTGCGTAAAGGTCGGTTCTTTGCAAGTGTTTGTGAAGAATGAAGGGAGCTGTGAGGACGTGGGCCCCAGGGATTTTCCGGTCGATGAAGTTCATAAGATTTGCGTGTTTGATATGAGGACAGCGAATGCAGATAGGCATGCGGGGAATATCTTGATTAGTAGGGATGAGGGTAAAACGGGAAGGATTGTGTTGGTGCCGATCGATCATGGCTATTGCTTGCCTGAAAATGTAAGTAAATAATATGAGTCCTTTTCTTTTTTAAGTATTTTTGTTTGTTATTACTGATAAAGTCTTTAGCTTTTATAGTTATAACTTATGAGTTACTGATAAAGTCGTTAGCTTTTATAGTATTTTTCATCAGTGTGTGCTATTTGTAAAAGAGAAACAAATGCAGTTGGGTATGAGTAATATTGTGATTTTGTGTAATTTGGAAAGTTTGGACTGTTTTTGTTTTGGTAATTATGCGACGCCCTTTTGGTACATGAACAAGATTTGAAAAAATCATAGAAGAACAAAAAAATCTTCACTTTTCAGAAAGCTTGCAGTTATGTAAAGAGAAACAAATGTAGATAGGGAACTGCAGTTTCATGATTTTAAAGATCACTCTAAAAGGCTAAATGTTGGAGTACTCGTTGTGCTTGACTTGTGTACTCGTCGTGAATTTTCAAATTGTATCGACTTGTTCCTAAAACATGGAATCTAATTCATATACACTTGTTGATTTTAGTGAATCTTCATAAAATATCTAGTAACATTCTCGATTTTTTCATGCAGTTCGAGGATTGCACATTCGACTGGCTCTACTGGCCACAAGCACGCGAACCATTCTCCCAAGAAACACTCGACTACATCAAATCACTCGATGCCGAGCAAGATATATCTCTTCTCAACTCTTATGGGTTAAAACTCTCCCTTGAATCCACCCGAACACTCCGAATTTCCACCATGCTTTTGAAAAAGGGGGCCGAGAGGGGCCTTACGCCTTTCCAAATAGGTAGCATTATGTGCAGAGAAAATCTGAACAAGAAATCGGTATTAGAGGAGATTGTTGATGAAGCTAATGACTCTTTGCTTCCACAAATGAGCGACTCGGCATTTTTCGAAGCATTGTCTGAGACAATGGACTCCACACTCGACAAGCTCGTGTGTGTTTATGTATAGGTGTGTATATACCAAAAAAGGGAAAAAGAAAAATAAAAAATCAGTCCATGTGTTATATTTTCGGATCATCCTCTTTTGTGTATTCCCTTTATTTTTCTCTACTATCCGTGTCGTGTCCGATGAATGAATGATTCGGGTGAACAGAGGTGTTAACGGTCGAATAAAGGAAGGATACAGTGTTTGGTTAGAGGGATTAGTAATGTATATAATTGTTATTAGCCTTTGTTATGGATCTATCAGGATTTTCAATCCTAATGGTGAAGAGATGTGTCCTGAGTTTGTAACTACTGGTTGGCAAGGGTTATAAGAGATCATCTTATTGTTGTGTGTTATAAACACCTGCATTTTGGTTTTTTCATGGCTACATCTTTTGCTTCATTTTCGATCATTTTATTTCGAATGGGGATAAATTTTCTGGGCTTGGCTTATGTTTACTGAGCTTGGAGCTCAACGGGTCGGGCCAGCCCAATTAGGTTTTGTGTTTTTTGTGTAGGATGGACCGGATTGGGCCATAACGCTTTGTGAAATAACAAATATGCCCATTATTATCCTATTTATCTATTAAAATTAAGGGAAATTTTCACTTATCCTACATGAAATTAAAATTTTTGCAAATCTACCATCCATTAACAAATAATTATGTTTCTACCTAATTGTCAAAATTTAACTACATTTATGCCTAAAATTCAGTTACCTAAAAAGAGGACCCTATCCACTTTCTGTTCTCATGATTTCTGCCATTTCCATAAAGAAAAAAAAACTTTGCCTTCATTGATANTTTCCTTAATTCACGCAGCCGTCAGGTGGTATATATTGTGTTTATGTTTAGTATATATTCAGTATATGTTGCAACAAAAAACATGTATAACAAGTTACTTATATTCCCTGTACAAAAAAAATCTTCTAATATATTGAACATATACTCTCTATAAACATACTGAACAGTGTACAAAAAAATCTTCTAATATACTGAACATATACTCCCTATACAAGCCACATATACTGCATGTCTATACACGCAGCATATAATGCCATGAACATATATGGTACATATATCGTAGGTATACTGTACATAAAGCAGGGGAAATGTGATTTCACAAGGAAATAAAATCAATCACCTTGCGATCATGAATCATGAAATAGAAATAATCGATGCTTTCAAATATGGAGAAAGATCCACAAAAGAAGAAATCCAATACGAAATATCATTAGCCTTCATCGTCCAAAATCTCAGGAAATTTACAGATTTAAAGACGCATATTTTTCAAACATACANAAAAAAAAAAAAAAAAAAACCTATACAAATCTAGAGAGATGGTACGACCAAATATGGATGCAATTACAAACTTAGTTGTGCCTTTTCTTCTTAAACTGTACAAACATGGATGAAAAATATCATTAGCCTTCATTGTCCAAAATCTCAGGAAATAAACGATGCTTTCATTAGCTTTCATCAATCTATACAGATCTCAAGAAATAATCGATGCTTTCATTAGCTTTCATCAACCTATAAAAAAAAATTAAAAATAAAAACTTAAGAACAAAAGAAATGTATTCTCCCTGTAAAGAATAGAGAGATAGGCGAGAGGAGAAAGGCGTAGTTGATAGGAAGTTACCATATAAATAGGAATGAGAAGTTATCATATAAATAGGAAATCAACTTTTTTGGCATATATACAAATAAATATAACAATTTTGGTTAATTTGTAAATAATTATATAAGTAATGTAATTATGTAATATTTTTAGATTGTTTAAGTAGAGCATGTAAATTCCTCTAAAATTAACAAACATAATCGAAAATCAAAACGCATTTTTTTTCTCTCAATCAACTTTGCCCCCTTTTAAAATTGCGAATTGAACTTCATTTAAAAATTTGACCTATCAAATTCGCTAATTAAATGTGTTTGGTAAAAATTCTATTTGATTAACTTTCTTGAAAAAGCTCAATTTATGAGAAAAGAAATCTGTAAAATAATATGTCAACATAAAAATTTTAATATAACTATACATTCACTGTTAACCAAACAATCATTCACATTAAGCAGCTAATGCAATCCGTGTCTTATCAATTATTCATCAGTACAATTTACTATATGCTATCACCCAATAGCCAAGAACCTAAATTATTTTATGTGATGATAAGATCTTCACAAGATGATTTTGTGTTATGCGTCAAACTCTATTTGTGATTCGGTTGCCGTCGCAATATGTCGATAGATATTTCTGCGTAGAAATTTGGATAATCAAATTTACTTATTTTAGAGAGGATCCTCGTATGAAGTATTACAAAAATATTATCCAAGATTAGGATTACTTCATTAATAGTGTTGTTAAATTAAACGAATTTGGTTCGATTCGGTTTGCGGCCTTAACAAGCCGAGCCGATAAGACTCGAAAAAAAAAATTTATATAAATATTTATAATTCAACTTGTTATAAACTCGAGATCTTAACTCGTTAAGACTCGAACTCACTTCATTAATAGTGATAAACGAGTCGAGCTCGAGTTTAATTTTTAGCGAGTTTATTTAACGAACCAAGTTCCACTCGACTCAAAGGGTCGAACTGTGCTTGAGCTCGCCTCGTCTCGACTCGTTTATAGGGCCACCCATTACTCATTTATTTTCTCTCGCAAGATTCTTTTAAACAAAATAAAATAGTATTGTCGACCGAAATAATCCATTGTCTCTCGCAAGATTCTTTTCAAAGAAAAGATCTATTAATAATTATAAATTACATCCTAACAAAAA